TGACCTTGAATGACCTTGGTCTGAAATTTTCACAACATGTGTAGAATTGATGTATGATAAGGTGTACCAAAAACGGCGGCGCTCCGCGCCGCCGTTTTTGAGATATTCGCGAAAAACCACAAGGGGGGTGTTCAAACACCCCCCCCCAGCAGGGCGCGGGTTAATAAAGAGGTTGTATTTCATTTTCTGATCATTTTAACTACAAAAAAAATCAAATCCATTGCAAAAAAAACTAATTTGAGGAAAGTGAACTATTCCCTTTAAGTGACAGGGTAGCGCTGCGTTTGAAGTCCCCATGGTGTTACCAGCCATATGTGGACTAGTCACATGCTGCATGTACGTTTTATCGGAGCTGGACGGGCCGCTGTATCGATGGAAAGCCCTTCCGGCACCGTTCCGACCTCTCCTTGCAGAGGAAGTCATCCATCGGACCTTCGACAGCCCGTCCAAAGGCAGGATAAGAAAAATGAAGCATCTGAGGGACGGCTAGGACGGACGGATAGGCCTATGAAAGCAGCTCGCCTGCAAATGAACGCTGCAGTAAAGCGGGCATGATGTCGATGTGATCATTGTAATTTGAACGCTAGTACTTCGTTTGCCCATTGCTAAAATGTTCTTCAAAGTCCGAAACACGTGCGTGATAGTAATTCAAAAGCCCTCCGAGTAGCAGCTTAGCTACTAATGCGGCTGCGTGCAAGGAACCAATCATAATCCGTTCAGGGTCGATCGCCAGGCACTGAAGTGCACATGCTAAGTGCCAATCATACGGGTGAAAAGCTCTATACCGGGATCAGCTGCTAAGGAACATAGGCTGGCACTTCCATTAGATGTGACGCAATGCAGCTGCAGACACGTAGCCAAAAATTACAGCCATGAAGGGTATTTTAGGGTTTTTTTCAAGGTCTCAGCTTCATTCGGATAAAATAGAGAATATTAGATTAGATGCTACAAATGGTCATCTGGCAAGTCAATGGAAGCATAGCAAAATGCTAGACAAGAGCAATTTATACCTTTTTTAGTTAGGCGTACCTAACATCGTTTAGGAAGGTTATGGATGGCCCTGCTGCCCTCTCCCTGGAAACGTCCCTGTTCCAATGAGCCAACATCCAGCATCGCATAGCCCATAGGATAGGATAGTGGCATTGGCACGACTTGCGTGGGCGTATAGCAGCCGATATCTGCTGCATTCTGGAGTGGTTTCCCGAGAACTACTTCGATACATGGATGGTAAGGTGATTTTCTATTTTCTATGGCAGAGATTGAAGGTAAAAGCGTATATATGCTCCTAGAATGTGATATTCGTACGAGAGCATGACACATCTAGCAAACACGCAAGGAATGGTATGGTCATTGGTCATGTCATGTTACCTAATATACTTTACCCAATCATGTTTCGTGATATTCAGCAATGCGATAATAAGATAAGCTTTCAATGCTTAATAATTTCGTCCGTATACCAACAAGTTACAGAGCAATCAAATTTACTTGAAAAAATATGAAGCACACAAACAAACCTCTGTAAAGTATACTGTGACTTGTCTAAACTGATCGGATCGAAAACCCTAGGGCTATCGGCGGACTCTGCCACCCATAGGGGGTCGTTTCGCCCCCCCCCCCCCCCAAAGAACTCGGAAAGCTACCGACGGATTTTCGAAGTTCACAAGGCGTTCGATAGCCCTACCAGGGAACTACTTTGTGACCCAATTTCAGTGACGTAGAACCAATAGATGACGTCAGGGGTGATGTCAAAGGTTGCGTTTTTGACTTTTTACTGTTTGCACTTTGCAGGCATTCTGAGCAATGTTTTGTAACATCGAGTAAAAGGCATGTTATTGAAAATCATCGATGGAGAATTGTTTATCTAACACATGTTTTGCTAATCGAGGTCACTGATACCAGGACAGGTCACAGAGGTCAGGTCACCAAGGGTCACAATATCAAATGCGAGAAACGGATTGCCGAAATACCAGTAGACCCGGTACACCATTATCTCATGGATTCGTGGACCGCTGCTGAGTGCAGTGACATTGAGAGGGAATTCGGCACAACAGACACTAAACTGAAGTGGAAAGTCATCGCTGTCATCCAAAATCTCATCCAAAGCTCTTGTGCGACGGCAGAAGCGTTGAGGCCTGCTAGATTCAGGCGTTTGGTGGTATGTACATACGTCGGTGACACCACTTGAGCACACACTGCTTTTATGAATCGCACAACGTTTAGCGAAAATAAGAAAAGGAGTTGTAGGTATGAGCATTGAGCAATATCGAACCTCTGCTCGCCAGATGACGGTAATATGGCGTGAAGATTTGCATAACATAAGTCGTATGTAGCGCTCTGAATCGTATGCCGATGTTATTGGTGATTCTGAATGCCAACTGGAAATGGAAATTCACAGTAATACCTAGTTAAAAACCGGCAGACGCCGTCTTACGTGATTCGTCCATGAATGCGGCTCCTTGGATGCGGCTTGACAGATTTCATTTGCGGTCGCATTTGATCTCTAGCCTCGATCTAAATTTATCATTTCCATATTTACGCCTTCCGTACCCTGCACTCAATCGTCGACTGGTGCATTAAATCGCGATGACATTAACTTCACCCTGCCAGAAATGCGATCAAAATAAACATCAGATGAATGTTATAATTGCCTCTAAGTAAGTCAGAGCGTCACTATGAATTTAACACAGGGTGCACAGCATTGGAACCAACATAAAACATCCAATGTGGATCAAAGCTGTTGCATAAAACGTCTTATTTGTAAGAGCAAAGGAGTACAGTTAAAATTGCAGCACTTCATGTGCTTTAACGCGCACATTTCTCTGGAAATTTAGACGGTTTGATGACATACACTCCTTTATTAGGCAATGCTGGTCTCGACCGTGTCTGCTAGATCTGAGTTAAGAGAAACAAAACTTTGCAGCAGTCTGACAAGTGTTTGTTAAACTTCTCAGCTAGGCGCCATTTCCAGATTTGTACGCCCGTTGAGCTCATATAATTCTGAATTTTCATTGTTAATTGAGAATGAAAATGATGATGATGATGAATTGGGGTTTTTGGGCGCCTGGAGAGAATGAAAATCTTGATCAGCTTCCTTGAAGATCCTCAAGTCGTGTCTGGTATGACGGTATGACCCAGTTTCAGCTAACAGAGTGCTGCGTGAGACACTCGCGGGCACAATCGTGTGCACACTTGTGTTTTAATTTAGACGGGTCGGGCATTCGACTTTTTGCATTGCTCAGTCTCGTGTTGTGGTTCGCAATAAAATGCTACTTCACATCCACCGCCCAGCTCCATTCCTTTCCACCGCTGTCCTTTTGGAGCCCCGGCGTTCCTCTCCGAACACAGATTCCTTTCAGCGTGGCCGTGCGGCTCTTACATCCTCCCGTCTGGCGAACGAGATAGAATGATTTTTTTCCTGGCTTGATCTCCTCTGCAGGCCCTCGTACAACTTGTGAAAAATGATAAATATCTGCCGCTAATCCTATCATATCTATGTGCTACCTATTAATCTACCCCGAGTGAAAACGACAGGAAGGAAGTGAGGGCGTTGCACGAGCCCACTCCCCTTTGTCCAGAAGGCGACGCATCGATGGACATAATGGTTTGGAAAACAAGCCATTGGGAACGCCCAGGTGCAGCTGACGTGGCAACAAAGAGAGCCGAGCCTTCCCCGCCCCCAGGCGCAGAGCTACGAGCGTCTAAAAATGAGCCAGAATACAAACATGGAGAGGATGTTATAATAACTATTGTACGCGTCCCTCCGGGCGTATTTCCGTTCTCGTCAGATCTCAAGCTTCAAAATCTATCAATTGATAATCGGATACCACTAGTAAAATTTGGCCACACACAGCCCTTAGCGGAGTGAGTGCCTACTGCCTACCTACATCAACTTCCTTAAAAGTCAAATCACATCTGTAACTCAGTCTGGCAAATGTCAAATTCGACGAAACATCACACTGTCTGGTAATGTCAGTGGAGGCTTGGGCAGTCTGTTCAGGAAACTACTATGGACGTCAAACCCCTTGAGACCCCACTTTTTTGCGATAATTTTTAAATGCGTCAACTCTCGTTGACAATATTTTGGCAATGTGTGTTTCAGAACCTGCCGAAACTTTTATTACTAAGGTATTTTGACATCAAACGATTATGAAAGGTACTTCTCATTCACTCGTAATGATAAATTTCACGGAATGAATCTGCTGTTTGTGTAGAGGCTACGCACTTATGGGGCGGAGCCACGTAATGACGTCAGCGCTAAGCTCCGCCCTACCCCTTCGGCGCTCCTTGCCTGGCGACCGGTCACTCGCGTCTCGCGCCCCATTCAGGCTTGATGGTGGGCGGTAGCTGGTAGCGGTAGCGGGCGCTGGTAAATGACATTAAGAGCAGATGGCGCTGGTGGCGGGGCTCGAGTGTGGCCGAGCGCAAGCCTCTGCCTGGGCCTGAATTGACCTTAGGATTACGAGTGAATGAGAAGTACCTTTCATAATCGTTTGGCGTCAAAATACCTTAGTAATAAAAGTTTCGGCAGGTTCTGAAACACACATTGCCAGAATATTGTCAACGAGAGTTGACGCATTTAAAAATTATCGCAAAAAAGTGGGGTCTCAAGGGGTTTGACGTCCATAGTAGTTAGCAATCCACCATGAGCATGTTCGTCAACATATGCATGATGGCAGAGCCGCTCACAGGTCCCGAAATTCCCATAATGCTCGCAAAAATGGGTGAATTATTCAAAATGCAGAGGAGGGTCAACGACCACCGCTATAAGAGTTTATCCGGTATTCCATGTGGGTTCCCTCACCTTTTATCATTGTCATAGTTTTTGAACAGAAAGGAGCTGGGAACTATAGGTACTAGTAGATTGTAAATACCTCCACGAGGCTGGCTTTCTGAATCTGCCGGCGATGGGTTATTACATAAAGATACCCAGCTTGTTACGAGCTGAACGCTCGAAAGATGTTCCGAAAAACGTCACTTTCTAAAGACAAAAACACAACCGATTTCAGCCAGATATATAATTGTATTCATCCAGAAACACAACTGCGTATTACTAATACAGCATAACCGAATAAGGAATCACGGAGGCGCTAGAGCGCATAGCAGATAGGACTTTCCACTCCCAAAGCAACAGCAATATGACGCGTCAGCCACTACCGCCCGGTGCTAGCCCGCCATCCGGGCGGGGGCGGGGCGGGGGCGGGGGCGGGGGCGGCTAGCCGACGGCCGATGCGATCACCTCCGAGACGGCTGGGTCCGTGGAGCGTACCGTTAGCTGCATGGTAACGCCGTCAGAGAGGGCCAGACGAGCGCGCACCAGCACCTCGGCGCCGCCTCGGTACACGCCTGGGGGCGAGGGTAGATGGAGGAATTTAGTGAAACGCAGCGCACACAGCCGCAAACAACACAATGATGTTGACGGGTTGGTGACATACACACCTGCGGGTGAGGCCGGACGGCGGGTCGGTGAAATACGGAGCACAGTGCAAGCAGATGTCATCGGCAAACGACACACAAAGATTGACTAGTCGACAGTATGTGACGGATAAAAAGGTCATCGGCAGTACAGACAGCTCATACAAACGGGTCAGCGGTCACACATAGACGAGTCAGAGACGACACAATAACGAGACAACCGCTGCACGTAGCCTTCCAGCGAGTACACACCCACTTCCACGCAATCGCCCTCCGTTTAGCGTACACAAGATGACATTGAACACCACAGAGCTCAACATTCACGCAGTAAATGATTCAAACTGTCGACTGAACCCATCCTGATATAACCAGTTACAGGAGGATATGATAGAGCTCTAGGTCTGGTCAATGATCGCAGAGCCGACAGCCCAGCAACGACTGTTCTATGAATCACAGTAGGCGAGGAAATGCCGTTGGTTTCATTCCCAACTGACGGGTGAAAGCCATTCAACACACGTCTGAGACACCTGAGTAGAATCATCGTAGTTTCACAATCATCACTCGTCGCTACACACCGCGGTAAAGGCCATAGAGCCTGGCAGCAATAGCCGCATAGCAGGCATTCCCGGCGAGGTGAATCGCCGGGTAAATTTGACCCGTGCAGATCCGAAACGTCGACCAATCCTCCCGACCTGGGGCGATTACGTGAGCCATTCCGCTGTGCCGGCCGTGGAGGGAGCTGGGCACCGAGGAACGTAGTGTAATATCGTCCAGTGAGGCGTCAGGTTTTGAAATGACTTACTCGCGCTCGATTCCATTCGAGGCTTGAGCCCCCATTCAAGGCAACGCCTACACGTTTTGACATCATCTTAGGATCAGCAGGAAGTCCCGGCTACTATTCCATTCACCACACGTTTTCATTCACATCTTTTGTTACCTAGGCTTTCCTCCCACTCGTGCCCTCCTTTACTCCTCCTTGGCCAGCCTTTGCCGGATCTGACTGCCCCACCGCAGACGGATACCCTACCCACCAACGGCAGCCCCGACCGACCAACGCACCCGACGCTCATGTCCCATCGCGGCCGCCGCGGAGGCACTTTCATAACGACGGAAGACGCATGGCCGCTGCCGCCGCCGCCAAGATTCCCCCTCCGCCCCCTCCCCCTCCCCAAGGCAGCCACTCAGCCCACGCCATCTGCCTCTGCCGCTGCCATCGGCGCCGCCACCCGCTGGGAATGTAAGAGAGCCGGACAATGCAGGCGACGGACCGGCGCGGGAGTGACCGGCAGAGAATGTAGAGGAGAGGCACGGCGTGCAGTGGCCGCGGCTCGAGACTTAGATACTGCCAGGGCACCAGCAGAGAATGTAGAGGAGAGGCACGGTGCTGAGCGACCGCGGCTCCAGACTTTGCTCCCACCGGCGGGACCAGTCACGGTCGGAATCAGTCAGCGCAGCGTTAGGTCTTCAAAATCATAACGTTGGTACGAGGTGTCAATATTTTAACATAAGCACCACAGACCACGTATGTCAGCCACTAGCCTTCCTCCCACACCAACCATATACTACATCCATCCCTCTGACTATTCAGCTGTGAAGTCGGGCGGAGCGCGGTCGACTGCGTTTCAGAGCCGGCCGGCACCGCTCTCCGCCGCCCACGGTCGGCTCAGCCCGCGGATGATCCACGGCGAATCGCCGCGTCAGCCCCGGGCGTAAATCGCGCCAGCAATCTCGCCGGCTCTTAAGTTGTCACATCGCCGGGCCGGCCATGGCGCTGCCGGCCGCGGAGCCGGCGCCGTCGCAGCGCCGCCAATAATCGGGCCAACTACGTCACAAGGCACAAGTTTGCCGACATCACAAGATCAGCGTCATACTAGTTGCAAACAGTCGGTTCAAATCTGATTAAGAGTATTGAACTTTGAACTAGAAGGCCCCTATCATGCAATGCTGACACATACAAAACAAAACAGAAGCCTTTATCAGTCAAAAAATCATAACATCAAAAGAATCTAGTGGAGATACTTTAATAGCAAAGCCGCTCAAAGAATGGCGAAAAATTTACAAATTGTTAAAATCGTCATAAGATAAGCTTCAATATTTTGCAAGCCATGAAATCAAAAGACATGTTTCAGGCGGCCTCGTAATGTCTCCGGTGATCTCGTGACCTGACCTTGCAAAAAGCCCATCTCAGCAGCCCCACCGATCCACCAGAAGCCCCAACAAATGAGTGCTGATGGCGGCCGACCTACGAGACAGCCGGCAGAGTGGCCTTCCCCCCCCCCTCCCCCTCCCCACCACCGACCGGGCAATCGGCGCCGGCCACGCGGGTGCCCTCGGCGCGGGGGCCGCGGGGAAGGTGGGGTGGGGGGGGGGACCTTTCAGCGGTGCTCTCCGATCGCCATCCACGGCCTGATAGGCCCCTATTGACGGCCAATTGACGGCCACAGGGCCCGAGATAGCCACCGCCACGGAACCGGCGCTGCAGCCCACGCCCAAATGGTGGGGCGCCCTGGCAGACGGTCGCTATTAGGGTATACTGAAGGGCTGACCGATAAAGCTGTCTTTATAGACCAATTACCCGCATTCAGAGTTTTCTAAAAGCATGCAATGAAATGAGCGCCACAAAGGAGCCCTCACGAAAGTTCAATAAGCATGTTCCGAAGTTACTGCCAATATAAATCGGAACGATTCAACAAATTAAAAGCAGAAGGATACGCCAGACAACGCATTCAGGAGTCTCACAAAGACTCATTTCATCTGCGAACCGGTTATAACAACCACGCCGACTCCAGACTCCGCCTCTCTCTCCCGCCCGCTCGCCGTCTTCCGCTCACCCTCTCCTTCTCCCGCTCTCCCTCTCCCTCTCCCTCGCCCCATCGACCCCGTCTGGCCGTCGGCACCCAGACGTGTCATTCCGGTCTGACCGCCATGTATCAATTTCCGCAGACCTGGCGGCCGATGTTCGCCGTAGGGGCCCGGCACCCGTTCCCCAGGTGCCCGGGGCCGTCCGGCTGTCCCGTGCCGTCCGGTTACGACCCGCGGCCCGGTCGGCCGTGATGTAGACGGTCGTAACACCGACCGAGGGCCAGTATCGGGGCCGCCAGACAGCACGGCCGACCGAGTCCCGACCGGCCCCAGACGGGAACGTCCAGTACGGCGCCCTGCCGGCCTCACCCGGACCGTACCCGGATCACAGGTGTGCCGAGATAGATAGACGCCGTAAAACAGCCGGAAAGGTTATGGCCCCTGCTGCTGACAGACGTGCCGGCCAGAAAGGCTTCACGACTCTCGTAAAATACCAGAAACATTTGAAACAATGTCTGACGCAAAATAGAGGACGAAGAGGCGGCACAAAATGCAGTGTCAAGAAAAGCCAAATGTGAAACGTCACTTCCAGCAAATGAAAAGTCACTCGCACACTAAAAAGACAACTCCCTTTCCTGCAGTTAATTGGAAGTCTACAAAACCAATGGACGCCCTATAATTCCCATTAACAGGTCTGAGAGCACTCCCCGGCGCAGCTGGGACACCTAGCACTGCACTGAAAATTCAGAACGTCCCAGCACTTGACTGATGGTCCCCACGGGACTCGAATGGGGCCGAGAGTGAATCCAACGGCCGACCGGGCGTGCCCGTACATAGCAGCCGACACGGCGCCTCGGCAGCCGCACAAGTTCACCTCCGATGGGAGCCAATCCGGGCCACACAAAGGAGCAACTTTTCTAATAAAAACGACGAACAATGGTGATAGAACTATGGTGGTTTCCATTTGGAAGTACGGAGAAGGAAATATTGGTGTTATTCAACACTGCGTAGTAACACGTAGTTAGTAGTAGTATTATTCTATTATTATTACTATCTAAATATTATTCTGAAAAGAAAAGAAAAAATAAGCGACAATCCATTCCAGTATTTGTCAGCAGCCACACTCAGAATCGGTAACGGCTAAGACACAGCGGATAGAAGGACCTGGCTCGAAATATGAGATGCGAAAACAAATATGCAGGGAGAAACTTACCAGAGCCTCCGGAGGGCTGAAGTTCGTAAAGGTGGATAACAAGTAGCAAATATATAATAAAAATGCAGCCTGGGCCTTCTGTGTGTATAACAGTTCCTAATTAAACCACCAGATCAAACTCAACTCTACGAGACAAACAGAGCTCGCTCGCTCAACGCGAGTCAGTTTGTAAGATGTCTATCATGCGTAGCACACGCAGCTTACAAGAGAGCTGCGACTGGGACAAACACATCCACCCACGCATACGACGCGCGTCCAGACCCAATACAACTGCGCAGACAGATTCGGACTACGGCTGGCCGCTGTCCAGCCCACGCCGGCCGAATCAGCGGCGGCCGTGCGGGCAGACAGGGGCGGGGTCGCCGTGCCGTCCGCCGTGGTAGCCCGCCGAGCGATGAGCTGCGCGCAATCAGCCCGGCCGCGATTGGCACGGCCCGCCGCCGGTAGCGCTGGCCCCCGGGGCACGCAAGGCGGTACACGGTCTCGGTACCGCGCCGGGACACATGGACAGACGCACTGTCAGCAGCGGCGGCAGGCAGCAGTCCAGGCGCTCAGTGGGTGGGTCGGACGCCTATCAGGACCTTAGACAACATTCGTGTATCAGGAGTGCAAGACAGGATCTATATTTTATAAGACAGAAGAAGACAACAATTCGTCAAATCAATGTGAAAAATTACACCTCGTTTATTCGTGAAACTGGTACAGATATGTCGCTTATATCAAACAATCACAACTGCAATAAAACACAATATCTAAAAAATAAAAATAATTTGCGAAGGATGGATCTGCTTCATTTTCGACGGTTACCTTGAAACACGTTAATGAGTAATTTGTTCAGCGATGCAAGAAGATAAGTCACGATGCATTCCACAACTCGAGAGTTTGGTCAACTTCACACATCCTACGATGCATCGAA